GGCATTTTTACTCATTTGCATATGTAGAGCCAAGATCATTTCCAGGTTGTTAATGGAGATTTGTATAAATATAACAGAAAGCACAATTTAGATATTGGTGTTTACTGGAAAAGCTTAAAATCTAACTTTGTGAACTGCCTGTTAAGACAACAATATAACTGAGTATGAGCAATGATGATTAGAAATGGTCAATGAAAAAAGGGTGTGATTATGAGCAAGGAAGGAAATATTAAAGATCACGGATGGGATTGGCGGGCTTCAAAAATTGCTGTGTACCTGAATGGGAAAACAGTGGCTTTTCTAAAATGAAACCTGGACCATATATATTGGCAGCATTAACAGAGGCTGTCATTCCCAGACAGACACTGGAATGACAGAACTTGTTCTCTGACAAAACTGAGTACAGTGTGTTTTCTTTGGGAGGACCTAGATCTGCCTCCTACACTGCTCAAAGCAACAAAATAGGTGATGTTTATGTTTCTCACTGGACCTTCTGGAAATCAGTGTCCTAATGAAAGATGTGGGAAGTTCATAAGAACACAAAGAACATGTCCAACTTGGCCAGGCCTCTTTTTCCTAGGGCTGGTAAATTGACTGTTATGAAGAAGTGGTTTTCACAGTGCTTGTCCATGACTTGCTAATTTTGTCCATCTGACATTCATGCAGTATGTTTCAACCAGTGAAACTTAAAGTGGCTTTATTTTAAAAATAATCAAAATAAAGGTTATCTGCAAAATGAGAAGAAAAAAAAATAGGGAAAGAAATCAACTTTCAGACCTTGTAGATTTTTTAGGTCTCAGAAGTATGTTTTAATCAATTTGGCAGCATTTTTTTAAATCACAAATTATTTTAGATTTGTGGTGCTTTTTAAAATTAGAATCACAGGTCTTTAAGCCCTCCAATCTATATAAACTTTATATGTCTTGAAGTTTACAGTACAATCTTAAGAACTTTTTCACAAGCAAAAAAACAAACAAACCCAATCTCTTATTTAGTTTCTCCATTGCTATTCTGGGATGACAGCTGGGACAGAAGGAAGTGAGAGTGGAGAGCATCACCCTCTTGCCATGAGTGCAGGTACCAGTATCCTTCTGTTTTTCTGCAAGATCTCTCTTGCAGGTCCTGCAGTAAATCAGAACAAGTTCCCAAAAGCACAGAGAATCAGCATCAAAAGTAACCTGTAATCATCACATTTGTGGCACCAGGCTAAAGACAAGACCTCAGCAGTGTGACTCCAGTGTGACACCAATGGACGCACCAGTTCCCTTTCCTAGGTCAGCAAACTGATCAAGATGGGACTGCCCTTCTCTCTGAAGGCAAAAAATGTTTAGGCCTGGAATGGTTTGCACTTGTGCAAGTACCACCTTTTTTGGGAACAGCAAGGGTGTGAAACCAGCCCACAGAGCCTGCTGTCAGCAGTGGGTGTCACAGCCCACAGATAGTCAATAGTCATTAGGAGTCAAAAAGGCAGAGAAACCTGGCCAACTCAAAGGAAAGATGCAGCAGAAAATGAGTGCTCAAATCTGGCTTTTACTTCTTGCATCATGGTCTGGTTTTATTCTTGCTGTATTAAAACTGTCATGGCTTTATGCTAATGTGCTTCGTTCCTAGCCAGTGATTATTATGCTTTGAATTAGCATCATTCTTGAGAGTATTTTGCATAGGGAGAAAAAAAAAGAAAGGGGTAGTCCTTCTGAAAAATAGGAACGAAAGGAGAAAGAAGAGCTGTTATTTGCATTAACTCAGAGCTGTGTATGTTTGGAGAGGATGAGGGAGAATGGCCACATCTCTTCATGGCTGATGGAGAACCCAGCAAGGCTCCTGGAACAGATCCACGTAGGACAGAATACTGAAATTCACAGAACAGCAGTCAAAACATGGAACTGGTTTTGACACCTTTTGGCTTTTAAGGAACCCATCCCTATGGGTAAATTCCTTTTGACTCTAGTATTCGTGTTGCCTGATGGTGAATCCATGCTAGTTTACTCTCAGCAGGAGAAACTTCCTGGGGGCAGTGAGAGCACAGCTAGTGTGCAGCACAAATATGCTATATGAAATAAGATTTTTAAGGGATGTCATTTCACCTGGAAATGGCCTTGGCAGTGGTAACTGGGACCAACTCTCAAAGAGCTGTGTGTCTCTGGGGTTTATTAACTGTGGGGTTACTGTGGTAGCAGAAATGTTGTCTCAGTGAGGGGCATGGGAGAGAGGGCAAGCTGCAGGAGGAATTTCATTATATTTCAGCTGTGGATTTATGTAGCAGCAAGCCTAATTCAGCTGCAGTAGTCTGTCATTTCTAGTTGGTTCAGTGGGTTGCCTCTACACCCCTTGTACCTCAAGCAGGACAGCAAAGTCAGTACCAGCCCACTGCTTTTAGCAGCATCTGTGTAAAATCCCAGCAGTAGATCACAGCGTGGTCTTGTGCTCTTTGTAACTAGAGGCATCTTAAAAATAGAGGAGGTGGGAAAAGGTGTGTTCTCTTTGGATCTGCATATAGAGTAAGTTGATCTATATATACCCCTTGCAGGTCTTTGAAGCCCTGCATGTCCCAGTGAAATCAAGAAGCATAAGGAAATACCTAGTTCTTCTTTTTACCTTCACAATAATGTGTGTTCAGCATAGCCAGGTGACTTGCAGCCTTGATGCAGCATGTCCTATCCCTCCATAGGACAGTACCTTGTAATGGGTTGTCCGTATAAGCAGGGATTTCTCTAAGCAGTTAGGCACAATATGAAGAGCTGAAACAGAATGAAATGTTTGACCAGGCTTCCTTTTTTCCCCTCTGTTTTTAATTGGAAAAAAAAAAAAAAAGTTCTCAGAGATGTCTGTTTCTCTCCATTGCCCCGAAGAATAGATGTTTTTTACCAGTTCTAGGGATACACCTTGACTCTCTGTCCTTTTGGCCTGTGTCTTTTCTCAAAAAACTTACAGGCGGCTGTATCTGGCGGTGATATTTTACAAGAAAGAGAATTGTGTTGCCAATGTTAAAAAAAAAAAAAAAAAAAAAAGCAAGAACAAAATAAGCAACCTCCTTGAAAAACCTGAAAAGCTCAAATAATATTTTAGTTTAGAGATCTGATAATGGGATTTCCTTTATGCTAGAGGCATCTCTCTTGGTTCCCACAAAAGCCAACCTAAATTTGGCACACTTAAAGCCTTTTAAAATTTTCCGTTGAGATGCACAAGAATTTGACAGCTAAAATCTCTGGTTTGTTCTATGGCGTAGGTGTGTTCATCCCTTCAAAGCTCTGTTCTTGTTGAGGCTCCAGAGCTTGTGCTCACAACTGAGGTTAATCCTTAAATACTGCTGGCAGAATGAAAACACTGAGCTGCTGACTTCAGAATGGTGTCAGTGAAGATCTATGTTCTGCCTTTATTAATCCAGACTGCCTTTTTGCAAACCACTCACCTCTGTTTTCCTGGCAGTGCTGCATTACAGCACAAGGCTGGGAAATGACAGAACAGTTCAGTTGGAAGGGACCATCAAAGATCAATTAATCCAACAGCCTGAACGTTCCAAAGCTCACAAAAGTTACAGCACATTATTGAGGACATTATCAAATGCCTCTTGAACACTGACAGGCATGGGGAAAGTACCACTTTTCTAGGAAACTTGTTCCAGTGTTTGACCATTCTCAACAGTACAGAGAAGTTTCCTAATGTTTCCTAGTCTGAACCAGCCTATGTTGTTCCTGCATGTCTGCTGTTGGTTACCAGGAAGGTGCAGAGCCTGGCATCTCCCTTTGCTTCCTCTCTTCAGGAAGATGCAAAGAGCAATGAAGGCCTCTTGGGCTGTCCCATATGGAGAAGAGGAGGTCAGGTATTCTCCACACCTCCCCCCAGTACATGCCTTCCAGCCCTGTTATCAACTTTGGTGCCTCTTTCAGGTTCTTTCAAGTACTTCAACATCCTCTTTATACTGTGGAGCCTAGAACTCCAGTACCCAATGTGATGCTCCATCAGTGCTGGCCCAGTCATGGAATAATCACTTCTTTTGGCCAGCTGGCTGTACTATGCTTAATGCACCCCAAAACGTGCTTTGCCCCTTGGCTGCCAGGCACAATGCTGCTCACACTGAGCTTGCATCCCCTTGCATCCCTTTGCCCCTCTCTGCTGAGCTGCTCTCCAGCCACTTATCTCCCACTCTGTTCTTGTGTCTGGCATTGCTCCATCCCATGTGCAGCAACCAGTGTTTACCCTTGTTGAATTTCATTACATTGATGATTGCCCAATGCTCCAGATCCCATTGAAGTCTAGAAAGACTGCATCCACCACCTTCCTTTCATCTAACAAGTGGATGGCCTTATCCTAGAAGGAGATCAGATTTGACTTTCCCTTGACAAATGATACTGTTGACTATGTCTGATGATGGTTTTCTTCTTTACATGCCTTTCAATATATCCCAGAATCTTCAGATTCATCTGTTGGTTTGTTTAAGTAGAGTCTTCCTTGATGTATTACAATGTAATGACTGCAGAATTTTTATTTTTTTTTAAACAACAGAAGTTCAGTGAAAGTCTGTAGCCTCTCCTTAGAAAATTCAGCTCTGACTGTGGACTGTGTTAAAGTTCTCCAAGTCTCTAGTTTTAAAGACTTAGAAGGAGGGGATTGGGTTGGCAGAAACATAGGAAGGAACCTTCTGGATTCTTAACACCCTTTCACTAGGAAATCCCTAATGTAGGCCCCTTTCGGAACCCAGACAGTTTCAGTGAACACAGTGATAACATCAAGGGGTTTTAGTCCTTGCCCTTGGTCAGTATTAGTTCATGCAAGTTTCTCTTGAATCCTATTGTTAATACAGATCTTTACAACAGAGCATGAGTTCAATTGAAAGAAAATAAAGTTAAAATAATAAAGATAATGTTTTTTTTTCCCTTTTTTAGTAGTTTCTGTAACCATGGAAAAAAATTACCATCTGTGTGGTTCTCTGATAATTTATTAAAATATCTATTTCACTTTTTTATTTTGTTTCTTTCTCCTTTTCTTGCGGAAAAATCCAGCGGAGGAGGTGGAAAGACTGGCTGCAATGCGTTCAGATTCTCTAGTACCTGGGACACACACACCTCCAATCAGAAGAAGAAGCAAATTTGCCACTCTTGGAAGGCTATTTAAGCCATGGAAATGGAGGAAGAAGAAGAGTGAAAAATTCAAACACACTTCTGCAGGTAACAGTCGCTGTCGGGCTGGTTTGTTAATCTTGGTCTGTTTGATCAACAAGGCTAAAAGCTGTTAATGCAGCCCCAATTTATATGCTTCTTATGGTTGTAGCTTGGCTGGCAGAGATTTCTCAGATTCTAAGCGATCTTTGTTACCAGCCCTTTCTTAAAAGAAGGAAAAAAATAAACACCACATTTCATACACTGATTTAGCAGGCTGTGGATAAAGGAAATGGTGTGAATGAAAAGACAAACCAAGTGAGGGTACAGCCACAATCAAACTCTGTAAGTACAAACAGGAACAGAAAAGGAGATGGCAAAGGAGTTGACATTTTCTTGAGTAATTCGTGTAACCATAAATTATTTTTTCCATTGGGCTGGAAAAATGTGTCACTTGTTTTCTGAGAAAAACAAATCTCTCTTCCTGCCACACCTCTCCTCCTGTCATTGCATTTAGCACTCCTGATTTAACACTTTTAAATATGTTTAAAGACTTTATATACTTTATATATGTATATAAGTCTGTAAGTATTTAAGTATAAAGTTTAACACTTTATGTATGTATATACATATATTTATATACATTTATATAGAAGAGAAAGCTGAAAAAACATGTTTTTATATTGCAAATTTGTCTGAGCAAGAATCCCAAGAATCCATGCACTGATTCATAGAAATATGTACCTGATTTGTTTCAGACTCTATTTTACTTACTTAGAAGGCTTCTTTTCTTTGCTCTTCCATGATGACTAATAATTAGTACATGTGTTCCAGCAAATCTTAAGTCCGGATTGTCTGTGAAAAAACATGAGTTTTCTTCTGACTTTTTATCATTCTCAGTGGAACTAGGAACAAAGCAGTTGCCAGAAGATACTTGAATTATAGCCCAGTTGCTCTCTGACCTGTTTATTGCACAGTGGATGCTTTCAGGCAGGGCTGGAGTATACTGACATCCCTAAGTCTGTACTCTTCCAAATGACCCATAATAGCACAAGAAGTCTGATTTAGCCAACTGCAAATTCATGCATGAGGTTAAATGCAGAATAAGATTTTGCAGGGTTCAGACCTAAGGGTGCACTGTACAGTGCAGTGTTTAAGTTGCTCTCTGATTTGTCAGGCAAGGACTAATGAGCTGGAATGGATGGCTGCATTACTCTGACTGGTGATTGTATTTTTCATTTGACAGCTGAAAAACTATTGTCACAAAAATGACATGTTTCTGCAAAACAAAGAGCTTGTCTTTCATGTTCTGTAGCAGCCATAACTGTATAGTGCAGTGTAAAGGATTTCTATGAAATGTGCAATGCTCACAAGGAGCACTGGATACGTGGATGCTTTAGTGACGACCAGTTTGAAGCTAGTTGCAGCACTCTGGGCTCATTGGTTACATAGCATAACCACAGCAGTACTGGATGTACCATGGGATGCAGAAATGCCCCTTGTATTTATTTATATGGTTTAACCAGCTCCATGAACTGGAACTGAGCTGCATAGAGTTAGACTAATTAGGTTGAAGCTGGCTTGAATATGCCTGCATGGTCTGCTCTGGGCATTGCAAGAGTCATTATGTAGACTGTCCCCATTTACCAAAAAATTTGAAAAGCGTGCAGGGATTAAAACCAGAGGAAAAACATGTACTTCCTTTTCTCAGAAAGCTTAACCTGACCAACCAGCATATCTCCTTCTCTTGTAAATGGGACTTCAGTGTCTGAAGAACAAATTAAAAGCAGGGTATCCAGTTTGCAGGAAATGTTTGACTGAGGTGCTGAGTTTGATTTCAGCTGAATCCAAAACCTTTTTTTTCTTTTTTCCCTGTTTCTTGTAAGCCAACAATATCCTGCAGCTGCTTGGCAAAATTGGTATTCTTGTCAGCTCCCCTGCTAATAACTACAGCAGAATTGACACAGATGTCAAATTTGCCAAGCACTCTGCAGGAAGCACTGGGGGAGACTTGCTTCTGGACTGCATCAGAGCTGGGGACCCCACAGTTTTCATCATCCACAGTCCTGAGGAATGGGAATCCAGCAAAATCCTGCCAGACCTCTATCTGACAATTCAGTGGCACTGATTGAACCTACCGTATGTAATACAAAATATTTTGCATGCTGAAAACTAGTGTTTTTCCACCTGTGTTTCCACAAGCTCTAGTCTAATACCCCTGATCTCACTAAGAAAATATATTTAATTTTTACAGTGACTCAAAGGACAAGCTTATGAGGTGGCATAATGAGAGTCAGCATGATACTTCCTAATACAGGTTTATTTTCTTCTAGTGCACTGATGAATGTGATGCTTTGAGAAAAAAAAAACCTATTAGTGTCCTGCAGACATGCACCCAAGCTTTCCTACCTGTACAGAACATGAGTAATTATTAAAAATAAATACTAATACAAGTATTTTATTAGCCTTTTTTTGCCGCAACAATAGATTCAATTATTTTAAATGTCAGAAGTGTTATGGGTCAAAACATGTGACCTTATCTGTTGAAAGTTTCTTTGAAATTAATGGGTTTTTTTTTTTTTTTTCTGTGATATTGAAGGCTGAAAGGTTGCCTTTTTTGGGGAATTTGAAGTGATAACATCTTGCATCTATATCTTTATTAGACTAAAAGCTCTGTGCTAAGGATTATTGATTCTTCTTGCACACACAGTGTGGAAACGTTTATTACTGTGGTACGGCAAAGGGTCCCTCATAGCAGTGAGCAATATGATAAAGCTTTGGGAGTACAGTCAAACTGCCAAGATTATATCACTTAATGAGTCTGCTTCCTTTAACTTGATGAGCAGCAGCCTTACTTACGGCAGAAGAAGCAAGGGGAGGAACTGGGAATTTTCTTTGCCTGAGCTTGTTCCCAGCTGGATGCAGCTGGGATGACTCCAGCAGACCGCCCAATATTTTTAAAGCTCCATCAAACGTAGTGGGAAACAGCATAGCAGATAGCAGGAAGGAAAGCTGATTATCTCCTCAGCTAGACCTTTGTCGTCATTTCCATACCGCGATCTTGTTCTGCTTGCCTTGATGTGAATTTCAAAACAGTTTCTGGGTGTGCTGGTGTTTTATTGCACTGCTGTGCACGTGCTGGTGAAATGTCAGTTCTTGGCTGTGTTTTGGAGGAGGAAGTGCGTGTTGTCACTGAAATAAAGAAGCTTGAGGGGAGATAGGTTCTGGGATTATTTAAAATATTATTGAAGTGGCTTTTTGTCCCCGCATTCATCAAGAGCTAACTGCTTACAACCTTTCAGAAAAAAAAATTCAGCTGCTTACAGGAGTCATTATTGGGAAAAACATCTTGTTTTGCCATTTCAGGTGTCTGGTGACCTTTATTTTAAAGAACTGATGCCTTTCTTTTCCTTCATCCATCCCAAAGTTGCAGTGCTCAGACACAGGGAAGAGGAAGCCTGTAATTTGTATCTGGAGGAGAATGGTTGTGCTGAAAAGAGGAAAGCAGGAGATAAGGGGTCTGGATAAATCTCAGTAGTAAGTAGGAGGGGCAAATGATTTGTCAGTGTTTGGGTTAGGTACGCAGGCATCCTGTACAATTAGCAGAGAAAGTCCAGTGTCTGAAGGGAGCTCCACTGCAGCTTTTTTTTGCTAAGTGGAGGATTGTCTGAGGTAGTAATACTAAAGTGAGAAAAGGAAATCTGCTAATCTCTGCTTTCTCTAGGTACTTCAAAGCCTACTTTCACTTGTCTCCTCATAGAAAGCCATGAAGCTCCTTGTTACAGCCTTAGGGTGAAATTAGAGGTTGTAGAGGTTGGCCTGTCTCAGAGATTCACCTGTTCAGGATGTAGGACTACAGAGTTTGTAGGGATAAAGACTGGGAGTGAACAAGGTAGACCGACATATCTGAAGAGCTAAGAAGCAAATGAGCATAAGCCAGAAAAGATCTGTTGGGCTGGGAAGGGTTGGGCAGGGAGACGGGGGCTTTCAGGACGTGAGCATTTTGACCTGCTGCCTGAGGACCTTAGGACTCTTTCCTGGTATCAGTTGCTCTTCTAAAATAGCTGAGGTCTGTACACTGAGTTTAAAGAATGAAGCCCATTAACACAGGCAGTGCTGCAAAATGGAGCATCTGGATTCTTTTAGGGATGTCGTACAAGCACTTCCACGTGCTTTCTCACTCACTCAAACTGTTTAAATAAAAGCAAGTGTGCCAAAACTATATTCACTCATGAAACTTCTAGCCGTTCCACTTCTGGATCTGTATTAAAACAGACATTTGTTTTATGCTCAAGTGCTATTTTTTTTTCATTTGTGGAGCCTTATTACTTCAGTTTTTCCAAACCAGGATCTTTCAAAAAGCACTGTATAAAATTTCATATGGCAGTATGTTTATATACAGTAAGTCTTCCAGTCAGCAGAGGGACTGTGTAAATTTAACAACATTTACAGGCAGGGGCTTTGAATAATTCTGATTAACACAAGCAGAAAACAAAATGTGATAAATCTGCAATTAGAGGAGCTGTTTTTCATCAGTGATGTCCATATCATTTTAATTCCTATGGCTGATGATTTCTAACTACAATAGGTAAATATTTTGCACTTTCCTTTTCAGAATATTCTGAATGGTAGAAGTTCAATAATTTGTTGCCGGTGCTGCTCTTAAACATTCCTATTCTCTTCTGTTTGGAAAATGATTGCTTTGTGTGCTTCCATGAGGACACCTGTGTTCTAAAACACATTAGGATCTCATTCTGATCACTTGAATTTTTATTTAATAACTACTGTGATCCCATGTGAAAGGTTTAATTAATTAGTTTTTTCAGTTACAATTCCTCTTACACTTTTAGGCCAGTCTTTCTCTAGGTTTAGGTATGAAAGACTGAGATAATTATGTTTCTTCTCCTATCAGAGAGCAAAGTCCTCTCCTGCAGTGTAGCTCAGTCTGAAGATACGCAGAAGCTTGTCCTGTTCTCATCCTTGTCTGAAGCTGATATCTAAATCACAAGTATACACTGACTTAAGCAAATATTTTTATCTGAAGGACAAGTTAGAAAATAAGCATATCG